TCTCCAACGAAAAGTACTGACTTTTCCTGCTTCAGCATCACTCACCAAAGTTCAGTGTGAGACTTTTTATTTCAAATTAAAAAGCAATAAGCCACAGATATAATTGCACATAAACAACAATTGACATCCATACATCTAATAACACTTTTACCATTTAAAGGTCCTGGCTTCTGGGAATAAATCCTGGGAACTGTAGCTGGGCAAAATGCTATGGTAGAAATCTGATGGCGAGGCTGACTCCCCAAGACTGATATTTCCCAGGATTCCCCAGTAACAATGACTGTGAAAACAATTTAGAGCAATCATACTGACATTAGTGCGAATTTTCCTTCACTTTTACCAGTGCCATCTACTATACCAGGGTCAGCAAACTATGGTCTGCAAGGCAAATCTGGCCTACCACCAGTTTTGCAGGGCCTACAAACTAAGAATTGAGAGGCAGACAGGTGGCAGATTGCTGGATTTGAGTCTCAGCCAAACTCCTGGGGCAAAGGTTGGGGCCAAGCCACCCTGGGCAGGAGCAGTCTACCAGCAGTCTCCTTGCTGGCAGATCAGCGCCTTCTAATACTGTAATTACCATGCTCCTTGGCCTGCAGACCTGCCAGTCAGAGTGGTAGAAGAGAGGCAGGATCTGGCCCTCTACAGCAGAGGTCTCCAAACCTGGCAACTGTAAGACTTGTGGGCTTGAACTCCCAGAATTCCCCAGCCAGCCAAACAGAAGAGGTTTGGGTGAACCCTATCTAGATCAGGGCTTTTCAACCTTTTCACCCATTGTACCACTTTTAGGATATGGCAACATCCAAGTACCACCCATCGCCTAGCAAGGTGTCAAAAACTTGATGACCAAAAAAAAAAAAAGAGGAAAAAACTGATGAAGTACAGGTAGTCCTCGACTTACAACAGTTTGCTAGTGACTGTTCGAAGTTACAATGGCACTGAAAAAAGTGCCCCCCGAGCCACAGCCGAGCAAGACACCTGCCTGCCCGCCCGGCCGCACTCTTCCTCCTGTCCGAGGTTTTCATTGTTGTGAGCATTTCTGTTGAGGATTGGCAGTGGGGGTGGGGGGGTGTTTGGTTTTTATTCCCCCCCCCGTCTGCTGGGTGGTTGCAGCAGGTTTTGGTCACTTCACATGACCCTGGGGCACTGTGACCGTCATAAATATGAATCAGTTGCCAAGCATCTGAATGTAAATCACAAGACCCTGGGGATGCTGCAACATTCCAGCTGATCGGCGCTTCTTCTGGGCTCAGCAGAAGCGCCAGGATCAGTGCTGCTTTCAAGCCGATCAGCGCTTCTTCTGGGCTCAACAGAAGCACCAGGATCAGTGCTGAGCTACAGCTGGAGCCTGGCGCTGATCCTGGCACTTCCACTAAGCCCTGACAGCCCCGAAGAAGTGCCAATCCTGTCGCTTCCGCTGAGCCCTGACAGCCCTGCAGCTCCAGCCGTCTCTCGCTCAGGCTTGTGCGGTGCTGTCACAGGTTCAGCTCATCCCCCCCCCACTACCACTTTTCTAGGATGCTCACGTACCACCTGCCAGGTGCCAATGTACCACAGGTGGTACCTGTACCACTGGTTGAAAAGCCCTGATCTAGATGATAGCAATCTCAATCTTCAAACGTAAAAAAAAAGTGGAAAAAAATGCAATCAGTATGTTTAACAGCTTCTTTCCTAATAAGGAAACCTTACGGTACAGGTAGTCTTCAATTTATAATCAGTTATTTAGCGACATTTCAAAGTTATGATGGATCCTGAAAAATGGACTTATGAGCCAGATCCAACGTTCCGATGTCCCGTTCTCACATCTCCCACAGTCACATGGCTGCATTTGGGGCACTTGGCAACCAGCCTGCATTTATGGTCATTTGCGGCACACCGAGTTACCTGACATTTTGGCTGAAAACCAGTGTTTATTTCTAATTCCTGGCAAAAACCATCTCATAATGAACAATGGGTTTCCTTAGTGACTGCAGTGTTCATTTAACAACCATGATGTTTGCTGTACAATCACAGCGTTTGCTTAATGAACAGCACCAAAAGGTTGTAAGATTGGGCGTGCTCACATGGTGACCCACTTTGTGACTGAGAACGCGAGCTCAATTACAGTCATAAGTCGAGGACTACCTGAATAGTATCTGCTTAGACACAATACAAACAAAATCTATGGAAATTTCACATCCAACGCATTGTCATCTGCATGCCCACTGTATAATCTCATTTCTTTTACCCACAAAACACCTTAGGTACTAGCTTATTAATCAAGATGCAAAGTATATCTCCAAATACAAATATTTTTATATTCTTTCAAAGAGCATGCATATCGCTCCTGATTTGTACTCGTGATGGCAGTAATCACCCAAATACTACAATCAGTAAAGTCAGTTTACATTATTATCCTATATTATACTTTGTAATACATTTCTTCCGTTGAAAAATATAGAAAAGCAAAAGACAAGTCTCTCTACACTGATGAATCATAAATGTTAAAGCTTTTTTTTCCCCCAGTTTCAGAAGGACCTCTGCGACATGAAATCCATCACTGGAAATGTACATCCGTATATTTGATTCTACGATTCTATTATTGATGGAATCATCTGCAGGAAAGGAAAATTAAAATAAACATTATGTAAAATACTTTAAATAATGAATTTTACTTCAACCCAAAAGATGCTGGGTGAAATATCTAAGCCTTGAAGGTAACTGGAACCAACTGAGGTCAGCAGATGACATTGAAGAACTGAGGGATGTTGTTTTATACTAACTTTGACATAAATTTGACATTCTATGACACCAAAGAAATAGCACATACAGTAAACAAATTGGGCTTGGTCAACTAGCCAAATATTTTCATATTATACTCCCTAATTTAGAAATTTTGGAAAACGTCAAACGCTCTCAGAAACTTCCTAACTCATCTTAAGAGAGGACCTGGTTTTGATAGCAAGTCACTCACAGTTTGTGTTCACCAAACACTATAGACTAGAAAGCAGTAGTTTGTAGCTGAGTGTGTTACTGCAAAACTACCCATAGGACTAGGTATCTCTTCAATGTATTGTGTGAGCTTCAATGTATTGTGTGAACTCAGCCAAGTTGCTTGAAGAAAACATCATTCTGTTCATCAAATGTGAAACGTCAACCGTGTTTTACAAAGACAATATATATATATTCTAATATAAATGCCATGCTTTGCAAGCAGGAAATAATATTCTGCAACCAGCTGTTTGCACTCACATAAATCTGACAGACATTTAGTTAAATTTCTGTAGCCTTTCTGGGTGTGGAAGACAGGAATTATAAAAATAAAATTCAAGGAAATATAGCACACTTGTTTAAAAAAAAAAAAAAGGGCAGTGGGATGTTAATATTGGGAAGTACGATTGAGAGGCCCAAGGATGAGATATATGTCTCTTTTTTCCAAGAGAATGAACAGATTAAGGAGGAAAGATTTTGAGAAGGTCACATAGGGGAAAATGAAGTTTTTTCCTTGTTGATCTTGGGAGGAAAAAGCGAAGGATTGGATGGAAGGGTTGCAATTTGGGATTTCCTGGGTGGAATCCCAAACTGGGAAGCTGGAAAAGCATCTTGTAAGAAGGCAATTCCATATAGTCCTCGACTTACAACCAGTTGCTCAGTGACCATTCAAAGTTATGATGAACACCCCCAAAGGTACAAATTGGTTCCAAAGTTCCGACAGCTGCCCCCCCATGTAGTCACATGACTGCATTTCAGGCACTTGGCAGCTGCTCATATTTAGCTATTTGCAGCATCCTGCGGTTACTGCGATTTATTGTGTTTTTGCAAAAAAAAAGTGGCATTTACTTCTGGATTGGGGCAAAAATGGCCCATAATGAATAATGGGTTCACTTAACAACCACAGCATTTGCTTAACGACCACCGAAAAGGTCATAAAATTAGGTCAATCACATAGGAGCCCTTACGACCATAGGGCTCCATTACAGTTGTAAGTTGAGAAGTACCTGTATTATTTCTTCACTTATGCAAACATTTATGGGCTTCAAGAGGCTATTAGACTTCGATTTTAGCCAGTGGTAAAGAATTTCTGGAAATTAACGTACAACTGCGTTACTCTGAAAGTTAACAGTATTCAATACTGCTTTTGTTTTTCTTTTAAATTTAAAGAAACATACATGCAGTTATGTTTAAAATCTTATTTGGTCTCCAAGGTGGATACACCCTTGGAAAGATTTGGTTTATTTCAAAGTAAAGTGAAACATGCTTCTGCTTTTAATTTAAAGAGGTCACTGCCCAAAATGTAGGCAACAAGACCCTCTTTCTTCAATCAACCCAGGCACAGAATTATATGTTGACATCCAAACCTTGTAAAGTGGTTCAACATACATCAAGGATCAGCTGAGGAACAGGAGATACGGTTTGGATTGTGGGCTGGTTACATTCTGGACACAGGTTGTTTGGTTCACAAAATCAGCTTCAATTCAGCATCATCCCATTTTGATAAGTTGATGAGGGCCAAAGAAGGAATCAGATGTAGATTACCCAAATACAAGGCTGGGGAGAAGAATCCTGCCCATTCTAAAGCCTTCCAGATCTTTGGTTTCAAGATTCTTGTTTTGCATACTGATAGGTTTAAACTTTAAGGGCTGAAAAAGTTGTAAGCTCCTGGAAGCAGGAAGTGAGCTAGGACAGAAAGCTTGGATAGCAAACCAACTCAAAACCCATTGTTCCTGGCAAGAAGGATGGAGCTCACATGGGTGATAAATAAGACAAAGAGTACGGAAATGGCCAGGAGGAACAGAAATTTGGCAGTTTGGGGTGGTTATGAAATAGTGGCACAGAACTACCTTCTTCTGTATCATAAGGATTTCATGCCATGTAAGTTGTATCATGGTTTGAAGCATCTGACATTCTATCCAATTAGTAGCACAAGACTTGATCACAAAGTTCCCACTTCAAGCTTCTTTCCATCTCAGATGCTTAGCAAGTATTTTATAAGTCTATATGTCCACGATTTTTTTGGTTTTTTCTCCACGATTATAGGCTCTGCTCATCATAGTACCATCTACATCTCTTATTTCATTTCACTTCACTGTAAGTTGTATTTACAGTACATTCACACTCAGAAGCGATGCACCCTGGAAAATACCTTGAAAAAAAGTATATGTCCACGTAAAATAATATTCCTTGGCGTGTCTATGATTAACTGGCTGATAACCTTCTGATGTGTTCTGGGAGGAACATCAAACATGAGAAAAGTCCACTGGGGCAAATTGCAAACAAACTGTGATCCCGATGAACCTTATTTGGAAGGCCAAGCTATGAAATGAAGAGGTGGAAGGGTGCCAGTTTTTTTTACAATTCTCCCTAAGTTGGGGTTTTAGTGTGCACCATGCCTTGCTGGACATGTCGAATAAGTTCTTTGCGGTTGTCCAGGATAATGTCAAAGCTCTCCTGCAGTCGATTTTGCTGGTCTGCAACCGCCTGCTGGAGGCTGCGAATCCAACGGAGCAAGGCCAGGCGGCGATACATCACTAAGTGGACGTGATGTTTCTGTTTCTCCAACTTCTTCCTCTCCTGCATGGTCCTGAAAGCATCTGCCAGTACTGGGGAGAAGATCTCAGAACTAGAGGAAGAGCTGTCAAAATCACCATAGGGGGCTTGGTGCTCAGCATTACATGTCCAGTCTTCATCAGTGACAGAAGGTATCTTCCAAGCATTGGTGCCACCACTCTCAGGGCTATCAACACTTAGAGGACTGCTGGAATAATCATTATCTTCTAGAGGGGAGCAGGCCAGATTCCCTCTTTCCTTTACCTTCACCTGGTGGTTGGTCTCTTGTTCTGGACTTCTGACCTCAGCACCTTCAGGTGGTCTACGGATGCCCTCCTCTTCTCCTTCCTTTTCCTCCTCTAAGCCCAGGAAGTTGTCATCAGACTTTAGTTTCTGAGAAATGTGTCTAGAGCAATTCTTTGCTTTCTGTTGGTATATTAGATCGGTCAGATTCTTAGATACCTTCTTTATCCCATTGTCATTCCGTTGTTCCCATTCCTCTGGCATCAGCGTCTTTGATGTGAGTCGGCTCCAGTTTTCATTGCTATCATAGGACTTCTCATCCACAAAGTTGAGGTTCTTGTCTGGATGGGAGTCCTTTTTGTTACAGTAGATCACATCCCGCTGTGAATTTTCCTGGGCTTCATTGAGCTGTGGATGGAGGAGGAATTCCGGTTGGCACATGGCAAACATCGATGCCCCCAGCCAACTGGGAAAAAGAAACCAGCAGAGAAAGAAATGTAGATGTAAAGACATGACCAATATGAAGAAAAATCCCAACACTCCTAGGTGGTCTTCCTGAAATTCATGCTTTGGATCCCAGGCCAATCTCAGCATTTAGACCTGTCTTAAAGCCTGGATCATCAAATTTAAAAAAAAAACTGTGATCAGTAACCATGTGATCAGAGCTGACTGACCTTCTTCTGAATACAATCTAGTTTTCCAGGACTTAAGGAAAGTTTTGTTTGCTCCTATAATGAGCTTCTGGTTATCTAAATCCTGATTTATTCCATTAACTCAATTATGCGGTTCATGCAACACTAAACTAGTAACTGACCTGCCAAGTTGAATTCACATTGCATACAGTACTGACCCACAAATTAACCACAAATTGGTCCAGTGAGTGGTGTGAAGCCAACCCTAATGCTTCCTAGAGCCACCAGTGCTTCTTTTGCTGGGGAGGGGGGAAGGAAAAGATAACTTCATGCTATCCCCCCCAAGTAATTCACAAACTGGCCATATTTGCATCTTTCTAAGCATGGGTGACTATGTTGCATAGCCTTTTTCTGGCTTAAAGCCACAATAGTCCTCTGAATGCATGTTGGGGTGAGACGATCATGTCACTCTAAGTGGGGCCTGGATGAGTACTTTAGCTGATCTAAGTTTTACTAAAATTAAATGAATATAACACAGTCATCAAAATGAACACAGAACATAGAGTAATAAAGTTGGAAGAAAACATTGAGGTCTTCTAGTCCAACTCCCTGCTCAAGCAGGACACCCTATACCAGGGGTAGGCAACCTTGGCTCAGGAATTCTGGGAGTTGAAGTCCACGAGTCATAAAAGAGCCAAGGTTGCCTACCCCTGCCCTATACTATTCTGGACAAATGGCTGTCCAGTCTCTTCTTGAAAACCTTCAGTGATGGAGCACCCAATAAAGCAGGGGTGTCAAACTGCCGGCCTGCGGGCCAGATGCATCATAGTGAAACCGCACCCACCCCATTGCCGGCAATGGCACAAAAGTCACGGTACGTCACGACACATCACGTGATGTTGCGGGTTTGACACCCCTGCAATAAAGGAAAATATTTGAAGCTCTGGGTTGAAATGAAGGGTCTTTTGTTGCCCTCTGAGCTTGGTTGTTTTCTTGCAGGTGCTTCATTACCCAAACTAGGTAACATTATCAGTGCTAGTCACAATGACTTTCCATATATTTAATCACTCTGTCCCCCTTTTCCTCCCATAACGAACGGTTACCTTGAAAATACAGGCTTAATCTTGTTCCCCAAATAATTTTGATAAGAGTCATAAACTGACCAAACAGATTGTTTGCAAAAGAGATAAAGCTAACTCCCTCACCGCACCCAAAACAGGCTTTGCAAGTTGTGCAAAGCCACTGTGAGGCCTTCAACACTTTTGTGTCTTGTGCACAAATAACTGGAAGGCCCAGAACGTGGCAAGCAGAGAATACAGGGCTCTGCCACCCTCGGGGCTGCGGCTTGTGTCCTTCAGCGGTAGGTCAAATGAGGGCAAGATCTGGACCAGACAGCTGGAACATAATAAGCTTGGACAAGCTGGCAGAAGGGGGACGTTTATCCAGTCAGCCCCCTTCTCCCCGCAAAAACAGACACCCAAAGCAGGCGAAAGGGAAAAAAAACAAAACACACAGGAGCCAATTCCCATACAATCCTAAAAGATACCAAGATGGAACAAGGCGGGGGGGGGGGGTTCCAAAATCTTGACTCAGCATTGCTAACATCTGGGGGCTCCCCTCTCCTCCTCCCCCCCCCTCCATTTTCCAAGCAAGCTTTCCAATATTCCTTTCCTTTCCTGGCTGAGAATGACGCTGTCCTTTAAGCTTTCCCTGTCGGGGAGGTGGGAGAAGGCTGGACCTGTCTGCCGTTTTAGGACATGTGATTTTTTTTGGGGGGGGGGGTGTCAGGAGCAGCGCCACTGGCCGTGCTACCAAAGTGCAGGCAGGTTGCGCCAAGGAAGGAAAGAAGGAAGGAAGGAAGGGAAGGAGAAAGTGGGAGCCGCTCATGCTCGGGGGGGGTCCCGCTAAAAGGATTATTGGGCCTCCCTCCCTCCCCGTCCTCTCCCCGGAAGCCCTTGGCACTCACCGCTGCAGCCTGGCTGGAATCAAGCTGGGAGGGGCGCCCGGGCGGCGGCGGCGGGGGGGGGAGGCGAATGGCAGGATTTGGGCAGCCGACCGTCGCTGGCCCAGATCGGGAACGTTGCCAGGAAGCTCTGCCCGCTTCCTGGAGGTGCCCAGGCGGCGGGGGGGTGCGCGGGGGGGGGCGGCGATTGCAAAGAGGGAAGGCGAGGGAGAGAACAGGTGACCCCGGGAGATCGATGCGTACGAACGGCTCCTCCCTCCTTCGCACACAAGCCCGAGTCCCGAAACGATTCCCAGCAGCGGGTTCACACGACCTGAGTCGCGAGGGTGGACAAGACGCGAGGAGGACTGGCTGGGGGACGTTCGGGGTGGGAGGGGTGGGTCCGTGAGCCACATCTGGAGGAGGACTTGGCTACGGGGAACCCGGGGACTCCTGACCCTTTCTGAAAGCTGATGGGGCCAGCCCTTGTTCTCTGCTTTGTCAAGCTTGGGCGGTGTCCATTAAGGTTTTGCTCGGAACCATCTAACACCCCCCCCTTCAGCCAACACCCAAAGATGATGATGATTGATGATGATGATGATGATGATGATGATGATGATGATGATGATGATGATGATAATAATAATAATAATAATAATAATAATAATAATAATAATAATAATAATAATAATAAAGTCGGAAGGGACCTTGGAGGTCATCAAGTCCAACCCCCTGCTCAGGCAGGTAACCCTATACCATTTCAGACAAATGGCTGTCCAGTCTCTTCTTAAAAACCTCCAGTGTTGGAGCATTCACCGCTTCTGGAGGCAGGTGGTTCCACTGGTTAATTGTTCTCACTGTCAGGAAGTTTCTCCTTAGTTCTCGGTTGCTTCTCTCCTTGATTAGTTTCCATCCGTTGCTTCTTGTCCTGTCTTCAGGTGCTTTGGAGAATAGCTTGACTCCCTCTTCTTTGGGGCAGCCCCTGAGATACTGGAAGGCTGCTATCCTGTCCCCCCTCATCCTTCTCTTCGTTAAACTGGACATCCCCAGTTCCAGCAACCGTTCCTTATATTAATGTAGGATTGAGGGTGTTCTGCAAACTCAGTTGGGTTAATTGAATAAACTGTGTTGAAGCTAATCAGAGGTGTGAGTTGTGCAAATACGGTGGTGGAGAATACAAGGAAAGTCAAGCGTGGTTGTCCGCTAGTTTTAAAGTTGCCAAGGTTAGACACCCCTGCTCTAAATGTTGAATATTTAGCCTGTTTAGTAGGAGATTACTCTTGGTGATTAAATACTCTGCATGGGGGAGAGTAGTATACTATCATGATGTCATCAAACAATGTTATCACACCTGTGACTTCATTGTAGCATGTACCAGGCACTTATGCTCCCTTGGTCCATATTTGAAAAGCCATCAGTGCAAACAAATAAATAAATTGCATAATAGTTGTGTTATTGCAACATACAGTATTAATCCACGGTTAAGTGGACCATTGTTTTTGTGGATTTGGCCATCCGACAGAACTATCAATTAACTACCCAAAACTGGGTTCTCATATGCTAAACTATTTAAGCTATGGTGAGTCAATTTATTATATGAATCTAACTAGTGGTTCAAAACAGTGGCTAGCAGTTCCTTCAAAGATTGTTGGATTACATTAAATCATATATTGTCAACCATGTGTTACTAAACCAAAAGATTGGGTTCATGCAACAAAACCATAAGCCACAGTTTATAAAGCAGAAACTGAATTGCTTCAGTGTATCAAGGCATTCTGATTTAGCATCTTATATAATAAATCCAACCAAATATGACTACAATGTTTGCAGTTTGGTGTAGTGTTTAATGTGCTGGCCTAGAAACCAGGAGACTGTGAATTCTAGTCCGGCCTTAGGCACAAAAAACAGCTGGTTGACTTTGGGCCAATCACTAGGAGACAAGGTTCTAGTCCAGTCTTAGACATGAAGCTGGTTGGGGAACTTTGTGCCAATCACCAGTGTTATGGTGAGTTCTAGTTCTGCCTTAGGCGTGAAAGCTAGCTGGGTGACTTTAGACCAGACATTCTCTCTCAGTCCACCCTAAAGCAGCCAGCTTAGCATGTGTGAAATCTGCTTAGAACTTATGCTCAGCTTTTATATGTTCAACCATGGGTTATCAAGTAAATTACAAGAAAATCTTCATCAAAGCCACCTACTCTGGCTGGGGTTTAGCTGCAGTGCAATGGTCTACCCTCTGACATGACTTTGCCCCCATGTCTTGGGCCTGCCCTTATTCTTCTTCAAAGCTTGGTTCACATGCGGCATTGCTTAAACCTTGGCTATTTCTCCTTCCTGACAGAAAAGTCTTAGAGCAATAGGCTTTTGTGATGCAGCAGCAGCAGCTGAGCAAAGACTTTAGGCCTCTGCTGGGAACAATCTTGTTCAAAGGCTGGGCGAGATCGGTCAATGGAAAACAACAGCAGATGAAAAGCAGGTGGCTCTAGTCTAACGGCTTGTAAGAACCTGGGATCAGGCCTCAAGTGCTCAACCCCAAAATCCAGATGTTTGGGGTTTCTGCTGGAACTCCATCTCAGTTAAAATGGCCCTACTATGTCAAAACTGCAAGAAATCAAGGAATACTCTGAGGAAGTAGATTCCTAAAGTAGGATATTAAAGCAAAGTATGATTGTCTTGCAGTAGCTTTGTGGTCTTCCAATAGGATTCCAGGCTCAGCCAAACCAGCCTTTTCCCTGATGTGTTAAAATTGCAACAGTTGTAATTCTCATTTGGCTTTCCTTGCCTGAAACCTTCAGTGGCTCTTGAGCTGTTTAGAAACTCCGTTTTTAGAGCCGTGTTCAGAGCTGTGGTGGCAACAGTAGTTAGACTGCAGTATTGCA